GATTCGAACCCGCCACCTTAGGTGTACGTGGCTGGCGCCTTAGCCGGTTGAGCTATAGGCGCCGAGCCGCTGGGCTGGGCTTGAACCCACCACCTCCGGTATTTGGGGCTGGCGCCCTACTCCTAGAGCCACAGGCACCGCCCCGGGACCTGTTTTTTGATCATTTTTTTAAACATTGAAAGAACATTCCAAACATGAAGAACCCATTTCACATGATATGTAGTTTTAAATAATAGGAAGTTTATTTCTTCATACTCAGAAGTCACACAAACAGCATTAGTATGGAATATAATTATATATTCATCTAACTTTTTATTTTATACAAGGCATTATATTGGGGAAACAAACCAATAAGACCTAGTCATTGCCCTTTGGAAGCCCCTTAATAATGGGAGATGGTACAGACAAACAGTTCCATTGCCATGTGGTAAGTGGTATAGAAGAGAATGTACAAAGTGCTTTATAAGCTCAGGGGAGATATGGATTAACTTTGCTTAGAGGAATAAGGAAAAGCTTCATTGAAGAGGTGGTTTGCAGGAATATGATCACAGGGTGATGAAGAGTTCATTGATTATAGGTGGAAGAACAATAGTATAAGGAATCCCAGAGATGGATAGAATGTGGTAAGGTGGGCTTTGGGGAATGGTGAGCAGTTCAGCATGCCAAGATGCATGCGGCTGCATAGAGTTGGGTGCAGCAGGGTATTGTATACTTGGAAAGAAATGGATTCTTGAATGGTATGAAAATGATTTGGGGTCTTATCTTGTAGGGAGATAAAAACTACTAAAGGATTTTAGGTAGCACACTGACATGAGTAGATGTGAAGTAATTGTACTAGTAATGGGGTAGAGGGTAGAATAGAAGTGGAGAGACTGAAAGCATGGACATCTTTTAGGGGACTGTTGCTAAAATACAGGCAAGAGATAAGGCTTGACATGGGACAGAGCTTTTAAAAAAAGAAGGAAGACAGTCAGAGACCAATTCTTTGAGGAAGGATTGATAGGACTTACTGGGTATTAGGGCATGAGGTCAAGGATTACTTGATGACACAAGGTTTTAAATATAAACTATAAAACACAAGATTTGTTTGGTAAATATAACAGTATTATCGTTGCCTTTCAGGTGTTAGCTGTTCAGATGAAGAGGAAAAACCCAGAAAACGAAGGCGAACAAACTCTTCTAGCTCCTCTCCTGTTGTCCTAAAGGAAGTTCCAAAGGCCGTTGTTCCAGTTTCAAAGACGATCACTGTGCCTGTGAGTGGTAGTCCCAAGATGAGCAACATCATGCAGAGCATTGCCAACTCCTTACCACCCCACATGTCTCCTGTGAAAATAACCTTCACTAAACCATCAACACAGACAACAAACACAACAACACAGAAGGTATGTGTTGGAAGGCGTCTCTTTCAATTTTTTTTTCAGACAATATGATTCATATTTAATAAACATGCACTGAGTGCTTACTATGTGCTTGGCATTATGCTGGGGATGTTTACATCTCTTATTTTTATTCTGCACATAAAGCTTTGGGATAGGTATTGTTATTGTGTTTTTTGTAGATGAGGCTTAGTGAGGCTAAATGACTTGCCTAAGATGACATAGCTTATCAGATCTCTTAGTTACTTCTAAGAATTGTGCTCTATTTTATAATTGTAATGCCATTTGAAAAAAAAATATTAACCTATATTTGTAAGAACTGAGTTTTTGCTTTGCCAAAGTAATAAAGTTGTCAGGTGTATTCATAGAAGAAAAAAGACTATAAGTTAAATAACTGTTGTCATAGTTTTCAAATTCTTTGTATGCTATTAATTCATTCCTATATTCTTCTCTAAGTACGGCCAAGTCATCAGTATTTTGTCAATTTCATGTTATTAGACCCCTCTGTCTTCCCACACTAGGCTTATTGCATACTTACCTATTTAGGATCTCCCTTTGCCATTATTCTGATCTTCCTCTTTGTTAGTTTATTTATTCATTTGTTAGAGCATATTCTCCAGTAGCTTTCTGGTGTATGGTTAGATGGAAAGTAAGTTTCTTGAGATCTTGCCTGGTGGCTGCAAATTTCTTTATTCTACACTTCCACCTTCTTGGTAGTTTGGGTAAAGTATTCTAGGTTGGAAATCATTTTCTTTTTTTTTTTTTTGAGACAGAATCTCACTGTGTTGCTCTTGGTAGAGTGCCGTGGCGTCACAGCAACCTCAAACTCTTGGGCTTAAGCAATTATCTTGCCTCAGCCTCCCAAGTAGCTGGTACTACAGGTGCCTGCCACAATGCCTGGCTACTTTTTGTTTGTAGTTGGCATTGTTGGTTGGCAAGCCTGGGCTAGATTCGAACCCGCCACCTCTGGTGTATGTGGCTGGTGCCCTAGCCACTGAGCTATAGGCTCTGAGCCCTGCCTATTTTTTTTTGTTGTTGTTGTTGCAGTTGTCATTGTTGTTAAGCTGGCCTGGGCCAGGTTAGAACCCACCAGCCTTCGTGTATGTGGCTGGCGCCCTAACCACTTAGCTATGGGTGCCAAGCCTGGAAACCATTTTCTATGTGAATTTTGAAGGTCTGATCTGTTGGCTTCTGACTTCTAGTATTGCTTTAGGGAAGTCCAATGCCATTCTAGTTTCAGATCTTATTTTTCTCTTTGAAAATGTTTAGTAACTTTCAGAATTCTGAAATTTCAAGGTAATGTTCTTTGGTGTGGGTCTTTATTACCCATTAATTTGTGTTCTCAGTGGTCCCATGTATTCTGGACACTTTATGTTCTTTAATTCTATGAAATTTGGGGAATTTTTTTTTTTATATTTCTCTGTTTTCTCTTTTTGGATCACCTATTATTCATCTCTTGAATTGCCTGGATTGATCCTTTAATTTTCTTATCTTTTCTCCTTCCCATTTTCTCTTTCTTTTCTTTTTATTTTTTTCTTTTGCTTTTTCCCTATGCTAGTATAATGATTAAAAGCTGGGATGTCAGAACACACTTCCTGGATTAAAATTCTGGCTTTTACCACTTACTAGCTATGTGGCTGAGAAAACCAAACTCTAAACCTAAGTTTTCTCATCTGTAAAACAGGGAAAACAATATTATTTTATGGGTTTTGGGTGTCATTTATTTGATGAAATAATATATGAAAAACTTAAAATAGAGCCTGGCGCATAGTAAATGCTCTATAAATATTTTTCTCATCATTTAACTTCATTCTTCAGTACTTCTATAAAATTTATTTTTGCTCTCATTCTTTAAATTTCTAGTAACTCTTGTTCTTTAAAAGCTCGTGTTTTTTTTTTAATAGCATCCTGCCCTTTCATATAATCATTATATTCTCTTACCTCATGATATTCATTTTTTTTTTTTTTTTTGAGACAGAGTCTCACTCTGTCACCCTGGGTAGAATGCCATGATGTCACATCCCACAGTAACCTCAAACTCCATGGTTTGAGCAATCTTGTCTCAGCCTCCTGAGTAGCTGGGACTGCAGGTGCCTGCCACATCACCCAACTATTTTTTTTTTTTTCTTTCTATTTTTAGTAGACACGGGGTCTCCCTGTTGGCTCAGGGTGGTCTAAAACTCCTAAACTCAAGCAGTCTACCTGCCTTGGTCTCCCAGAGTGCTAGGATTATAGTCATGAGCCACCACACCATCCATGATAATTTTTTTTAATATTTTGTTTCATTTTCTCTAGCTTGCATATAAGTTCCTTTTTTCTATTTATTTTGATCTTTTTTTATTTCATTTGCCTTAAGTGTCTGGCTTTCTGCTTATATATGAAAGTAAGCACTAAAAAGATGATAGAAAGCTCTCTGTGTAAGGTTGGGACATGTGAATAGTGATTTTTCGCTGTAGATTAACCTAGCTGGGTTGTTTTGTTGAGGAACACTCACTACCCCTTAACCTTACCAGTTGTTACTCTCTTTAGGACTTTTTCTTGGACTGGTAAGATTGCCCAGAGAAGAATATTCTATTCTCCTACCTTGAGTTGTATAAGCCAGCCTCCAGTGTTTGGGAAGTAAGTAGAGGGAAAGGGCTAGGTAGGCTCACTAGTCATTGTGGAGACTTTACTTAACCCGTATGTTTTCAGTACAGTATCTGCCCCCCTTAGCCATGCCAGGTATCATCAGGTATCCGTGGATTCAGTTATCTTCAGGAAAATTAATTCATAGCCTTCCTTTCAAGTGAGGGAGAAAACTAGCTAAGGATCTAGATGCTTCTCAAACAGATTTGCAGCTAATTTTTCTCTCTTTAGTTCACCTTTCAACCCCCACTTCTGAAATTTTTGGTGCTCTAAATTCTTGAGTCTTTCTGGGGTTCACTAATACTAGTTGTCTTATTTAATAGCTATCTGTTCACTAACTTAGGTTTCCATTTTCTTGGATGTGCTTGATCCATTACCATTTGTTTTCCAGTTTCCAAAACTTTATAGCTATTGTCTCCTTGTCTGTTTTTCGTTTTGACCTTCTAGGTTTATGTGCCCCTTCTCCTAAACCTCCCCACCCCAAAACCAAATACCTTCATATTGTTTTAGGGGGATTTAGGGAAAAAAGTGGAGGCAAATTCTGTGTTCAGTTCATAGTTTTTCGATCTTTGAATTTTTAGTCCTGTGATAACTTTGATTTAAAGAACCTCTGAGTTTCCTAGGATGATATCATTCTATCATATATTAAAAATTGTTATTATTCTCTTAATAACTAGTAGTGAGCTGCTCTATGGGATGTAATTGTTTTCAGTCTGAGGATGAGGAATTATGATGTAGTATTAAAATCAAACTAGCATTCTTATAGTCAAAGAGTCCTGGATTGGAACCCTAGTTCTTATAGTATGACCTAAGATAAATTAGTCTTTCTAAATTTACTTTCTAATTAGGAGATTAGAATAATGCCAGTTTTATGAGGATAAAGTGAGATTGGCTATTCAAAGTACAACATAAGATATGTGTGTAGTAAAAAGTTAGTGTTCTTCCCTTGTAACTATTTTATGGAAAGTAATATTTTGTTTGTTACACTATTGATAATGAGTTGTGCTAAGTAAGTGAATTCATCAGTTCACTGAAATTTACCCTTAATCTATAGAAATTAACCATTTTGATGACTTTTTAAATGTTATACTGAACATGATTTTTACATTTTTTTTGATGATTTTAAGATCCTCCTGAATGTCATTTTTTATGTGCTATTTTAATGCTCTATATGCTTTTGGGGCTTGCTCTCTATTCGGTGGCCTCAGCCTGCTATGCTCTGAATTTTTAAGTCTACTTAGTATAATGTTTTTATTGCCTTCATCACTGGATCTTATTTTCTCAGTAATTCTTCTTCCTCCCTTCTCATCTACTTTAATTTGGTATTTGAAAAATAGTAAAGCAAAACTATTATCTAAAAGAGCACCTACTTCTCATCCATATCCTTCTATTCCCTTACTCTTTTTTATTTTATTCATTATACTTTTAACTAGTTGATTTTAATATTGCAAAGTTGTTTACCTTCTATTTCTTCCATTGGCTATACACCATGGAAAGTAGAGACTCTGTCTTCTTTATTACTGTATTCTCTAGTGTTTAGAACAGTGCCTGGCATGTAGTACACATAGTTGCTAATTAATATTTGTTGAATGAATGAATGAATGAATAAATACCTTAGATCTGGTGGCAACATTGGCTCTGCTACCTCTTTTGAGCCTCAGTTTGCTTATTAAATAAAGATGATAATAGTACTGTTTATCATTACTGGGAAAATGAAATGAGGTGATTCATATAAAATATTTAAAATAATACATATAACGAGGGGTCAGTTAATGTAATTAACTTTCCAATCTTTGGTAGACATATATAAAAATAATTGTAGATAAGGGTTCACCTATAAGTGAGGTCTGTGGACTTTTTTTTTCTTAACAATTCATTGACTTTATCATATCTTTTGTTTCATTTTGTTTCCTCTGACTTTTTAGTTGAGAATGGATAGTTGAGGTTTTCAGACTTTAGAAGAGGGCATATTTACCTCCACAGTTGTAGATGAGCCTACTATGAGATTTTAGGCTCAGAACCTTAAATGTGTCTTATCGTGTCTGAAAGTGTAAACAATTAAAATAAACTAAAAATAAGACTCATTCATTCACCAAATATTTATTAAGCATCTGCTATATTCTAATGTAAAACTGTGTACTTTTTTACTTCATGTGTACTCAAATGCCATCAGTTGTGATGGCAAACTGAATAGGTAGGACTAATAGATATTCTTAGGATTTTTTGTTGTTGTTGTTTGTTTTCTTTTTGCTGGGTAACTGAATTTTTCGGAAATCTATCCAAGGCTTTTGCCATTATTATATGCACCTTGGGTTTTTCACAAATCGTATGTAAGGCAACTTAGGAATTACTTTAGGTGAAATGACTTTTAAATATATTTATGAATTTGTGGGTTTATTCAAATTCAAATAGGTCATATGTTTTCAGGGTAGACCAGTTTCCACCTATATTAATGTAGTGCCTTCATTTTAAATATAACTTAAATGCAGCACTTATATAAAAAAGCAGCAGAATATAGCTTTATGCTTTCATGTGCTTGATTGATATTTTTCATTTTGTCCTTAGGGTGCAAGTCCCAGCACTCTTAAGGAGTTTTTGTGAGTGCTAGAAGGTCAGTAATTTGAATTATGGCCTGAATAAACACTGTTTGGTTCACTTGGTTTCAAAACCCCTATATTTACCCTATTGTACTAAGTTACTTTAAAGTGCAAGTAGGTTTTCTCTGGGGTGGAGCTCTAATTTTGGATATCCCCTTTTTGGATCAGAAATCATCTTACAGACTGAAATCTCAAAATATGGTTTATCATTTGTATCTGTAACCTAAAACCTACTTTAAAGATGCTGGATTTATTTTGCTGTCTTAATGTTAGAAGCCTACCTGCATACTCTAGTTATGAAATTACAAATACTGTATTTGACACAAGTATAAACAATTCCCCTTCCCCTGCCCATGACAGACATTGCTAATTAACTATGGCGTACTTTCCTTCTAAGCCTTGGCGAATCCACATCTGTACCTCACAGTCCTTATAAGCATTGTGCTCCAGGAAGCTACTACTCTTGGTTCAGAACTGGCAAACATGGGACCTAATTGCCTTTTACTACTATAATTTGTTTGGCTATGGTAGTAGCTATGAGTTCTTAGGATTCTGCGAGGTAACAGAATTTGGGGAAATGATAAAGGAAAATTCTCATTGAAATACATTTCCCAATTGATTTGATGTGTAATGTCTTTACTGATATCTTTTTAATATTTATTAAGTAATAATAAGCTACTAAATAAGTACCATTTGTTGACTACCAAATATTGACCACCTGCTATGTGCCTAGCACTATGTCAGATGCTTAATATCATTATCTCATGTAATCCTTGTAATGATTTTGCAAGGTAGGTATTATTATCCCCATTTTATAGATAAAAATTGGAACCCAGAGATTTTTAACATGACTGGGGCCTGCCATTTATAAATGGCAGAGGCAGGATCTAAGTGCAGGTTTATTTGACTTCAGCTTGTGGTCGTTTAACCATGTTGGTTTGCTTCTCAGTTTGTATGATTGATAGTTGTTTTTCTGATAATTCTATGTAGGTATTTATTGATCAAGTCTACATGTAAGTATGCTGGTCAACTCTATATAGGTGTTTACTGGTCAAGACTTAGGTATCTTTCTTGACTCCTCAAGTAATTAGCAAACTCTTTAAAGTAATAACAAGTACTTATCTCTTATAATTCTCTAGCTCTGGAGATAAATAACAATATTAAACTCAAAGTTTCTTTGAGATGTAGGTGTTGAGTACAGACATATTCAGTAATTATTGACTAATTAATGTCAGTCCATCTTTACTTTAGAACTGACATAAAAATTAAAAAGAATTTTTCCCTTAAATTCTTTAGGTTTTTCAAAACAGTTTTCTGTGCAAGGTAGGTACAAATAATTTCGGTGAATGGATAATGTGCTTTGTTTTGTGTTTCACTATGCTACCATTATCTCACCCCAGAATACAGCTGTGTTACTACGGATTTATAAATGAGTTTTGTTTTCTTAACTGTAAAATGGGGATAATAATAGTATCAATGTCACAGGATTTTTGGGAGATTTAATAAGCTAATACATATTAGCTATAGGGGCTATTCTTGATTCTGTACTTTTCCTTAACCTGCCATTTCCTTCCATTCATCAACAAATCCTATTCTTTACCTTTAAAAATAATCTGAATCTGCTCACTTCTCTTTTTTCTCCTATCAGCACCAAGTCCAGACAGCCTCTACTACTTATTGCTTAGTCTACTGCAATAGCTTCTTAACAGGTCTCACTACTTCCACTCTTGGACTCTCACCACATAGCAAGTACAGTGATCTTTTAAAATACAAATCAGATTTTGTTTTTCGCTACTTAAAATGTTCCCTTGGCTTCCCAGTAAACTTAGTATAAAATCTAAATTCTTTACTCTATTTAATCTGGCTTTTGTTTACTTTTTTCAACACCTTTTTATCCTATATTGCTTTTGCTTCACTAGCTGTCTTTCTGTTTTTAATTACATCAAGTTAGTTCTGACTTTTATTTTATAGTGTTCTCTCTGTTTGAAGTGCTTTGTTCCCTAGATCATTTATAGCTATGCTAGCTGAACTTTGGTATCTCTTTACTGATACTTTTTTCCTCCATTCTTCCTGTCAACCTATGAACATATCTTGTTTTTTTAACCTTAAAATATAGTAGAACCCCCATTGTTGACCACCTTCCTACATTGACTACCTCCTTAAGTTGACCAGTTTATAACAGGCCCTTGAGTGTCAACTTACAGAAGTTCTGCTATATTCAGAATCTGTTCACTCTTCATCACTCTCACCATAAATACTCTAGTCACTATGATCTCTGGTTTGCTGTAGGAGCTTTTGTAATTTCACTGCCCTATTATATTTTCATCAATATGTAGCCAATAGAGTAATGATTACTGTAAAAAAGACATTTTTTTAGAACAGTTTTAGATTTAAAGAAAAACTGAGAAGATGATGCAGAGTTTCTATATACCCAGTACCCAGCTTCCTCTATTTTTTTTGGTTTTTACCTATTGTCTTTTTTTGTTCCAGGATACCACATTATATTCCCTTGTCATGTCTCCTTAGGTTCCTCTTGATTGTGAAAGTTTCTCATACTGTCCTTGTTTTTGATAACTTTTGACAGTTTTGAGGAGTAATGGTCAAGTATTTTGTAGATGCTTCACTGTTAGAATTTAATGTTTTTCTCATGATTAGACTAGGATTATGGGGTTTTTTTGAGGAAGATGGGAGAAAGTGCCAGTTTTATCATACCATATCAAGGGTGTATACCATCAATATGATCTTACTTCATCTAGTCCTCCATTACTTCCCTGCAGTTGTCACCTATTATTCTCTGCCTTATAAATTCCTATCCCATTTATTAGGAAGAAACTTTGAAGTTTCTTGAACATACCTAGGTTGCTTCTGATTTAGGGCCTGCTCCCTGTTTTATTGGATGCTCTTCTATGTAGCATTATGGTTTGTATCCCTATTTCTTCTGGTTTCTGCTCAAACATCACCTTAGAGAAGTCTTTATCAAATATATATATATGTGTGTGTGTGTATATATATATATATTTTTTTTTTTTTTGCAGATTTTTGACCGGGGCCAGGTTTGAACCTGCCACCTCTGGTATATGGGGCCAACGCCCTACTCCTTTGAGCCACAGGCGCCACCCAATCAAATATGTTTTTAAAAAATCATAGCATGCCCATCATTCTTTATTCCCTTATTGTACTTTATGTTGCTTCCATTTGTCTCTGTATAACATATTTTCTTTTCTGTTTACTATTTATCTCTCCCTACTAGAATGTAAACTTTCTTAAAGTATGAACTTTGTTTTATTCACTCTTCTGTTCCCCAGCATTTAGAACCATGCCTGGCACATAGTAGGTGCTCAATAAATATGCATAAATGAACAAATATTTAAATTACTTTCTAGAAAGATTGTGCCAATTTATATTCCCTAAGCAGTATATTGAAATGTTTATATCTTGCAAAGTACTGAATGTTATCTTCTAGAATATTTGGTAAAAATTGTTGCTATTAAATACATTTTGATGGTTATTAGTAAAGGAGAGCTTTTGTATGTTTTTAGGTGTATATTTCTCTCTGTTGAATTGTTTCTTCATGTTTCATAAGCTATTTTTATGTTGTATGTGACTAGGAGTCTAGATATATTAGTAGTACAGTGCGTATGTGAAAATAACTTATTTTCCTTTCCTTAGGTTATTATAGTGACCACATCACCAAGTTCAACCTTCGTGCCCAACATTCTCTCCAAATCCCATAACTATGCAGCAGTCACTAAGCTTGTACCAACGTCAGTCATTGCTTCCACAACCCAGAAGCCGCCAGTTGTTATAACTGCCTCACAGTCCTCTCTGGTCAGTAGTAGCAACAGTGGCAGCAGCAGTTCTACACCCTCACCTATTCCTAATACAGTTGCAGTAACAGCTGTGGTGTCCTCTACCCCATCAGTGGTCATGTCAACAGTAGCGCAAGGTGAGTGGTGCTTCATCATTTAATTCTGTTGGTGGTGGTATATGGGAGTTTTGAAGAAATCTCTTTGGGTATATTTTTCTGCTGTGGGTATGAAGATCCTTACTATTAGGTCAGAGATTAATACTCTTGCCTTTGCCCTTCTTCCCCCAGTCTGAAATGGCCAGAGTGGGTTACTCAGTTTTCTTATGTTAATATGCTTACCTCAAGTTCTTTTTTTCAAGTGAAAAGTACCTAGGCAATTAAAATTCACAAAATATAGGCTAAATTTTGTCAAATTTTAAATGAGAAACTTAAAATTATATTACTATAAGTTCTTTAGAGGAAATCCAAGTACATAACCTTTTCAAAGTAAGTGATAAGAAGTATGGAGAAGAAGATGGTTTCAAGGACTTGCTATTTGCCTTTTCTTCATTCTCCTAAATTTTTCTGTATTGGTAGGTAATAGAAGTATTGGGAAGAGGAATTGAGAGTTGAACTCAAGTATAATTGCTACTTAATAGCAGAGGAAAGGAAATGTGGAAACTTCAGTTCCATTTTTAGCTTAAATCAGTTCTTTATAGCTTTGTGTTTATCCCATATGAAAGACAAGTAGGATACTACCAGAAATTTTGTGGCCAGGCCCAGTGGCTCATGCGTAATCCCAGCAATTGGGAGACCAAGGAGGGTGCATCGCCTAAAGTTCAAGACCCTGTCTCTAAAAATAGCCAGGCATTGTGGCGAGCACCTGTAGTTCCAGCTACTTGGGAGGTTGAGGCAAGAGGATCACTTAAACCCAAGAGTTTGAGATTGCTGTGAGCTAAGATGCCACAGCACTCTACGAAGGGTGACCAAATGCGACTCTGTCTCAAAAGAAAAGAAATTTTCTTTTTACACTGTTGATAACTCTTAAGACAGGGATCAGAGGAAAACATTTATTAAACAGAATTCATACTCATGTTTCTAGTCTGTCACAGGGAGCACAGAAAATATAGAAGGGTACTTTATATTAGTTTTCATTGAATTTTACTCAAATAATACATGTCTTTGGGTTAAGACAGACTGGGGCTTGGAAATATTCTAGTTTATGAACTAGTAATGGATGCAAACACTCAAATATGAAAACACAGTGCCTCGATTGCTTTAGTAATGTGTAATTTGTTCTGTACAACTGTTAGCAAGGAAGAGGTTACACAGATATGGATACAGTTAATATTCTTTCACTCTATAGCAGTTATGGTAGGATATGGGAGCACCTGTCATTTTTTGGCTCTCATACCCATTTACTGGTCTTAGTCAATGACAGGAAATAGCAGGCCTTAAATTTCCTTTCATGTATTAACATAAGTAATTTAAAAAATCATCCCAACATTTCTATTTATACAACAATAATATTGTTAAATATAGAAATAATTTTTCTGTCTTTTTTTTTTTTTTTTTTTTTGAGATAGAGTCTTACTCTATTGCCTAGGCTAGAGTGCAGTGTCATCAGTCTAGCTCACAACCTCAAACTCCTGGGCTCAAGAAATCCTCCCAGTTTGGCCTCCCAGAGCACTAGGGTTACAGGTGTTAGCCATGGTGCCTGGCCTAGGAATGTTTTTTTTTTTTTTTTTTTTGAGACAGTTTCACTTTTTCACCCCAGGTAAAGTGCTGTAGTATCATAGCTCACAGCAGTCCCAAACTCTTGGGCTCAAGTGATCCTCTTGCCTTAGCCTCCCAAGTAGCTGAGACTACAGGTGCCCAGCACAACACCTAGCTAGATTTTTTTAGAGATGAGGACTCACTCTTACTCAGGCTGGTCTTGAACTCCTGAGCTCAAGCAATCCACCTGCCTCAGCCTCTCAGAGTGCTAGGATTACAGTTGTGAGTCACCGCACCTGACTTAGAAATAATTTTTATAGAGCCTGTTTGAAATGCTGTTTGCAAACATGTTCCAAATTCACTATTTCACAATTTGAAAGTGAGAGAAGGAAAGGCCACCTACTCTTCACCTGACTATCCCTATATCAAAACTAATATAAGTTATCACCTATTGATAATTGTTTCCCCTTCCAGTGTTCACAAGTTTGCTAAAGTTTTACTGTCTTAAAAAGATTACTTTTCTTTTGAGGAAGATGTTATTATTTGAGATGAGAGGTGTTTCTCTTCATCACTAATAAAATATTTTCAGGCAAATGAATATTCCATGCTTCTATTTTACATTCTTAGTTTTCTCTAGGTATTCTCTGAACTCTTGGGAACTTACGACTTTCCTCATTTTCTCTTTTACTTTTCAGCATTTTATATATCTCTTTGAGCCTTAAGTATTTTTAGGGGAGCTGGATATAACATCTCAGAGATTTGTCTTAAAGTCTCTGGAAGTTAATAGAGAATGAAAAGTAAAAGTAACTGTTCTGTAGATACTCAAGGACATTATGTAACTACTTTGTTTCCATTTGAGATATTTAATTTAGATATTATTAGTGCTAAGAAATGAAAGCATTTTATTTTTTAAAGTGTAAATATTAGTGGAAATGGCAATACACAGATTACATTTGTGATTCTAACTGCAAGTCTTCTTTAGCACTCCTATTTGGGTATCTGGGAGACAAGGAAACAGTACATGTTTTTATTATCAATTAGAGACAAGACTGTTTTGGGACTGAAGTATCTTTAGTTATTCTTATAGGGGCAGCTGGTGGTAGAGGGAAAAGGATCTTAGTAGCATAACTTGGTGACTGTATGTTAATAAGGATAGAGATCCAGATACAACATTAATAATAGGGTTTTGTTTCTTAACTTATGGTCTCTTTTTCTTCTTTTTCCTTGCAATTTATTTGTCAAAGAAATAAGTCATTTTTCCTGAGAGTTTTCTGTAATTTTCAAGAATGTCCAACATGTGGGCCACATGTAGATTATTTGAGACTGTTTTGCTTATCTCTGGTGTCTGATCTTTTGAAAAGTATGCAAAGAACTTTCTTTTGCTCATCAGCTTTTGTTAGTGATTGTGTATTTAATGTGTGGCCCAAGACAACTCTTATTTGTGTGGCAGAAAAGAAAAAAGGTTAGACATCCCTGGCTAGATTTTCCTGATTTCATTCATCTCTGTGGTGTGGTTTAAGCCCTCCTAGTCCATGTGTTTGCATAAAACTGGTAGTTAAACCTAAAAACTTAATCAGACTCAAGTCTGTTTTTGGAGAAAGAAGGAATTAACATTTTTATAAGTAGTATAGTGTATTTCCCTTGCATCATTTTAAGAGGTAAATGATGTCTGGTTTTTCTCTTTAGTGATGTTAACATTGGCCAGTGGATACTAGTGTTACAAGCGTTTTTTTGGAGACCCATAGAGTGCTGTGGTGTCATAGCTCACAGCAACCTCAAACTCTTTTGGGCTTAAGCGATTCTCCTGCCTCGCCTCTCAAGTCGGTGGAACTACAGGTGCCTGCCACAACATCTGGGTATTTTTTGGTTGTAGTTGTCATTGCTGTTTGGCAGGCCTGGGCTGGGCTTGAACCCACCACCTCTGATGTATGTGGCTGGCACCCTAGCTATTTGAGCTATAGGCGCTGAGCCCTTACAAGAGGTTTTAAAAACTCTTTTTTTTTTTTTTTTTGAGACAGAGCCTCAATCTGTCCCCCTGGGTATAGTGCCATGGCATCACAGGTCACAGCAACCTTCAACTCCTGGGCTCAAGCAAGTCTCCTGCCTCAGCCTCCCAAGTAGCTGGGACCACAGCTGCCCGCCACAACACCCAGCTATTTTTTTGTTGCAGCCATCATTGTTGTTTGGTGGGCCCGGGCTGGTTTCGAATTCAGCACCTTAGGTTTGTAGCTGGTGCCTTAGCCACTTGAGCCACAGGCGCCAAGCCTTTAAAAACTATTTTTACTTGGGCGGTGCCTGTGGCTCAAAGGACTAGGGCACCAGCCCCATATACTGGAGGTGGCAGATTCAAACGACCTGGCCAAAAACTTCAAAAAAAAAAAACTATTGACACTCCTTGCCTAGATCCATTATTTTACTAGTTATTGCAACTTGAATTTTATCTTTGTTTTCTTCATTCATTAACTGGAATTCTTCTTCTCTTCTCTTCTCAAGATGGAGTCTTGCTTTAAAGTTGGGACTGTAGGCATGTGCCATAATGCCCAGCTAATTTTTAAAAAAAATTTTTACAGACAGGGTCTTGTGTTACTCAGGTTGGTCTTAACTCCTGGCCTTAAATGATCCTCCTACTTTAGTCTCCTAAGTAATTGGGATTATAGGTTCAAGATACTATACTTGGCCCTAGGCTTCTAAATTCTTTTTTTTTTTTTTTTTTTTTTTTGCTTCTAAATTCTTTTGACATGACATCAGTCTTTGATAGCATCCTTATTTTGTGATATGATGAGGGTACCAAATAAATGTATGCACATTTTAAGAAAGGAAAAAAACTGTATTAAATCTGTAATACCCAAGTCACATTTGACTTCTGCAATCACAAGAAGTAGTCAACATAATTTGTATTTATCTTTTGTTATCAGTGTTACAATTTTAATACAGTTTTTCCCTTTCTTAAAATGTGAATAATTTTTTTTATCCTCTGTATTTGGAATAAAAAGTTTATATTCTATTTGGTATCATGCTTTCTTGATAAAACATTGCTTCATTAAGTCTTCTATTTTTCTGTAATTATCTTATTTTCAGTAGTATTTAGTAATACTTTTAGTATTGTTGCATAAATTATTTCCTTATTGTTGGATATTTAATGTTTTTCCAGGATTTGAAATTTTAGATTGAATTATAGTGAATATATTTGTGAATTTAATTGAGCCTTATATTTCTTAGAACCAGCACTTGGTTCATTACCAAGTGAAATGATTGGAGTTTTTTTTGCAGAGTTTGCTAAGTCCTGTATTTTATCTCCCTGAAGTGTACTATATTGGACTATTCCACTAGTATCTGGCCACTATTAAGTCCTTACTCTTTTTGATTTAAAAAAAAAATGGGATTGGGAGAAAAATTTCTAGGACTTAAAAAAATAATTGAATAGCATATTACTTATCCAGTAT